ATGCTGGGAACTGGTTTGTTTCCTAGGTGATTCTAGATCCTGTTACGTTTATAATCAATATTAATTATAATACTGCTTCTCTCTCCCCGTCTCTCTCTCTCTCTCTCTCTCTCTCTCTCTCTCTCTCTATATTAATTATAATACTGCTTCTCTCTCCCCGTGTCCCCCCACACACACACACACTTCCACCCATCCCACCAGCACCTTAGCAATCAGGTCCCAACATCTCTGCCTTGATCTAACTCCTCAAGTAGATATATTTGAGATAGGGCTTCTAAGAAAGTAATTAGAGTTATGATGTCATAAGGATGAGACCATGAATTCCAATAGAATTACTATCCTTAGAAGATATATCTTATAAGAAGTGTGTGTGTGTGTGTGTGTGTGTGTGTGTGTGTGTGTGTGTTCCACACCCACCCAGGAAAGGCTGAGTAAGGACGGGGTAAGGCTGCATCTTCAAGCCAGGAAGAGAGCTCTCCTCAGAAACTAGCAAGAACTGGAAAGAAGGTGGTAAACAAAACCAGGTACCCAGGGCTTGGTCTGCTGCAGCCGGGTGACAAAATGCTATAGGCTGGATGGATTGCATGACAGGCTTTTATTTTCTTGCAGTTCCAGAGGATGACAGTCCCAGGTTAAGATTTGGCAGGTGGAGATGTGGTTGATATTAACTGAAGGAATGAGTCTGTCTTTCCCTTCTGCTGCATTTCAAGACTCCTGGGGTGGGGGGCACCAATAAAGCTTGAAATTCAAGGGAGTGGAGCTGGGTCACAACTCCAGCCCCACATAAGCAGGCTTGAAAGCCAGCAGAAGTCATGTGCTGGGAAGGGAAGCCTAAGAAAGGAAAGAGCCCTCCGAAGGCAGGGAACGTCAGACACCACCACCAAAGCCCAAACTGCCCATGTAGACAATATATTGTTTTCCAAAAGACATCTTGTCAAAGACAGTAAGCACACTATGCTTACTTAGGGCCTAAATGGCATGTAACCTTGGGTTTCTAGCCTTTTCCTAAGTCTAAACAATACCACTCTTAAGTTTTCCTCAAAACCTTGTATAAAAAAGAAAATACACACTAGTCCCAGCACACAGGAGGCAGAAGCAGTTGGATCTCTGTGAGTTCAAGGCCAGCCTGGTCTACATAAGTTCTAGGCCAGCTGGGGCTACAGGGAGACCCTGTCTCAAAACAAACAAACAAAAAATGCTTTTGATATTTAAAAAGCATGGGGAGGGGGTGTTTAGCAACCTTTGGAGATATAACTTGAGCGCCTCCAAAATCCTACCTCTGGTGCTTTTTTCTTTCCTGGGCTCCTTTCTCTCTATTCTTTCTTTAACCTTCAGACCAAATTTCTTTCTTTTGTGGGGGGGCTTTTTTTTGAGAAAAGTTCCAGCTGTCCTGGAACTCACTATGTAGACCAGGCTGGCCTGGAACTCACAGAGATCTGCCTGCCTCTGCCTCCAACTGCTGCCACCATGCCAGCCTTTCTCTCTGTTCTTAACAAACTCTGCTTCATCTTCAAAGGCACTGGATCTTGGCTTTGCCTGGGCTAGGGGCGGGGTGGGAAGGTAGGCAGGAGTCTCTGTAAAGAACTCCTCAAGCTACTCCTGGCAGCAGCAGGGTGTGGAATTGTCTCTGCCCCATTGATACTACTATAGAATCACTCTTTAAAAAACAACCCACTTTTATCCATAAAATGACTCCTCTGAGACTCAGTTTCCTCATCTGTCAAATGGGTAATGATAGTACCTGTCTCCTGTACTTGTCTAGCACTTGGGGCAGAGGGTAAAGGCTAATCCGAGGGATTATTGCTGTTATTCAGGTGCACTGACAGAGAAGCAGATGCTCAGCCAGTCAGCCACAGGGGATGAGGACATGCCTAGAGGAAAGTAGAGGAGATAGGATTCACCAACTTCCAGCCCAAAGGAGTACTGACATTCATTTGGACCACATTATGGCCCCAGGTAAGTCACTTTCCAACTTTTCACTGCTGTCTTCTGATTCGTTAAAAAGTTATTTATTGCAGCACCATTCACAATAGGCAAGATA